ATTCATGCTTATAATTTTGTAGATACACTTACAATTATAAGTGGAAAACTATTCAGCTTCCAAAACTCCACCCGCACATCTTTTACTATCATACCATGTTCGTTGTTTTAAAGAGCAGGTGTATTCTACCCATGTTGGCAATGTTTTGTATAAATTAAAGTTAGGCTCACATTTCTACTCAATGGTAATTAAAAAACTGCAAATACTCAAAAGTAAACAATACTTCTCCCACCCAACAAAACATTTTCAATTTGACTGTTTTGACTAATGATATCATAGTTTGACCAATGATATTTTTAAATACAAAATTATATGTAAATGTAATTTGTTAAAAACAATTTCATAAAATATAGAAGTTATATTTTTCACACAAATATAATAATGAAATTCATTCTCCAGAGTTTCTTAGCATAAATTCAATTTGCTCAAGTTGTGTGCAGGTAAGGGTCCTACTAAGAACGTCATACATGATAAGTTAAATTAAAAATATTATTAAATCATAATTATATAAACATTAGATAATATAAGATGATATCCAACGTATCAAAAGTACTCAATATACAAAAATAAGGATATTTGTAGATTATTGTAAACAAAACCTACTAATCTCTGAAGATTGTCATTAACTATAAAATATAAAATACACTTGAATAATTTATTTGAGTTATGATAAATATAATAATTTAGCAAGTGTTGTAAAATAATAAGTACTGCCTCCGTCCCATAAAGAAGTTCACATTTCGGTTTATGATGTTTGACTGACGATAAAACAATTTGATCCATGTTCACACTCAGATTATTTTTAGTAAATAAAATTTACATATTCAGAAACTACATTAAAAAATGGGAGAACTATCAAATAAGCCCTCGAACTTTCACAAAAAGTGCAAATAAGCCCTTTTAAAGGAGGCTCTGTCCGGCCGTCGCCATTTGGGGCGGTTTACGGTGACAATTTTTGATGAAATTTTTTGTGTATCTTCTTCAATAAGTCTAGTTTATTCATACCAAATTTAAGCTAACAATTCAATCTGGAAGGCAGTCAAATGAATTTTTGAAGATAACTGTGCAGTTAGACAACGCAATATATTTCAGAAAATGATTTGACTACCTTCTCGATTGATTTTTTATCTGAACTTTGGTATGGATAAACTAGACTTAATGAAGAAAATCATCAAAAAAATTCATTAAACAATTCCACTGGAAACTACCCCAAATGGCGACAGCCGGACAAAGCCTCATGTAAAAGGGCTTATTTACACTTTTTTATGAAAGTTCGAGGGCTTATTTGATAGTTTTCCCTTAAAAAATTTACAAAGTTTGATAGAGAAAATATAAATTTGATAAAAATTTGAAATATAAAGCAAAAGATTTTGAGTGATTTTAGTTGACCATGTGAATAGTGAATGAGAACTTCATTTTGGGATGGGTGTAGTATATATTTGCAAATGAAATTGATAGTAGAAGATCTATATTCAAGTCAATGAAAGTCCAAATTTAGGAGTTTTTATATTGGCCGACCTGCAACCAACATGGGTAAAATTAATCGAGACACGTGAATTAATTGGGAAAAAATAACAATCCTAATAAACCACTAAATTGGCTGAAACAGGTTAGCTTGTGGGTTTTTATATTGTCTCTTTTAAATTCTAATTTTGACAATCATCTTAACCATTCTCAAATTTGATTTTTGTAACTCAATCAAATGTATTGTGTAATCTACGAATTCACATTTCATTCATTACATCTGCAATTTTGTTTTATGTTTTTATTTCCATTTCTATGTGTCATAAGAAAAACCTTAAGCATATATATTACCATGCAGTGCACGGGTACACATACTAGTTATAAACATATTTCACCGCCAAAATTGAAAAGTTGAACAGAAGCATGTTAATCAAATTAGCCTAAAAGGTCAAATAGGCCCTTGAACCCGTCAAGAATGCTCAATTCGCCCCTTAAACTTTAAAAAGCTTCAATTCACCCTCTAAACTCAACAAAAAAGTTCAAATCTCATTTTTTGCAGGTATAAGTCAGGTCACTGCCATGTCACCCAGTCAGATGTCAACCGTGCATCCCATGTGGAAATTTAAGGGGTCAAATAGACCCTGAAAAGTGTTAAAAAGTGTTAAAATTACTATTAAAAAGTGTTAAAATTACTATTAAAAAAATAAAAAATAGAAAATAGAAAATATAAAATAATATACAAATTCATAATATAAAATATAGACGTCTATTTATAATGTAATAAGAAAATATTTATATTTTGCGGCAAATTAAATATATAAAAAAATATAACGAAAATAAATTATTTTTAAATACTTAATATAAAAATGTAATAACTATTTTCATATTATACTTTTTGTATAGTATAAATTTGTTATGGTGTATATAATTAGTATGAAGTATAGTATATAATTCTAGAATAAATACGAAGTCTTATACATATATGCATGTGTGTGTGTAATTTTACATATAAATAGAAAACATTAAAAATTCTAAAAAATATCATATGAAAAATACAACTCTATATAAACATAAATAAATTGTAAAATACAAAACCTAAAATACGATTTATAATACCAATTATTACATATAATACACAAAATACATATTTAATTTTAATTTACAAATACATGTATTGATTATTTTTTAAAAATAATATATTCAAGGGAAAATGGAAACTAATAATCCAAACTTTTAGCGGTCTTCTTACAATAGTCCCACATTTTCATTATTCATGAATAATCCAACCTTTGCATCCCATCTTCATTCACTGGTCCCTGATCGATTTATGACGTGTTATTCTAAGTTATTTTCTTATCTTTGTAAAACATTATACCATTATTCACACCTTATGATCACATAATGTTTTGCAAAGATAAGTAAATAACTTGGAATAACAGGTCATAAATCGGTCAGGGACCGGTGAATGAAGATGGAGTGCAAAGGTTGGATTATTCATGAATAATGAAAAGGTGAGACTATTGTAAGAAGACCGCTAAAAGGTTGGATTATTAGTTTCCATTTTCTCTATATTTAAAATATAAAATAGTTTTAATGAATTTATTTAAGTGTATTTGTAATGAATTTACCGCAAATATAAATATATCCTTATTATATTTTTTAATAGGTGTCTATATTTTGTACTTTCGATTTGTATCTTATTTTATATTTGGATTTTCTATTTTTTAATTTCTTTTTTATTTTGAAATTCTTACACTTTTTAACGGTTGAGGGGGCAAATTGAACAACTTTGTTGAGTTCAGGGGCTTATTTGACCTATTAAATTGCCACGTGGGATGCATGGTTGGCATCTGATCAGGTGACGTGGCAGTGACCGGACTTTCACCTGTAAAAATGATATTTGAACTTTTTTATCGATTTCAGGGGGTTAATCGGAGCTTTTTAGAGTTGAGGGGCAAATTGAGCATTTCGAACGAGTACGAGGGCCTATTTGACCTCTTAACCCCTTACTTTCGATTTGTATCATATTTTATATTTGTATTTACTATTTTTCAATTTCTTATTTGTTTGCAATTCTTACACTTTTTAACGGTTGATGGGGCAAAATTGAACAACTCTGTTGAGTTCTGGGACCTCCTTAACCCCTTAAATTGCCACGTGGGATGCATGGTTGACATCTGATTGAGTGACGTGGCGGTGATCGGACTTTCACTTGCAAACAAATGAGATTTGAACTTTTTTATCGAATTCAGGTGGTTAATTAGAGCTTTTTAGAATTGAGCCTTCCCAATGGGTAACATGAACCTATTTGACCTTTTAGCCATCAAATTAAACTTTAAACTTGTTACAATATTGGGCTTTACTATTAGAATCATTTATTTACGGAACTTTAATATTTATTTTATGGCAATAGTATAGACTATAATTATTATTCCTTATTTATGCTTTGACCAGTCCTAATTGATTGGTGCACCAGGGCCGTCTAATGAATTTGGAGGCCCCGGTTACAAATGACAAATTGAGGTCCCTTAAGACAAGAAATAATACAAATGTTAACAATGAAATACAAATAGACTAGACAGTTAAATGAAATAAGGAGTATAAGTTTTATTATGTTTAAGGTATACAAATTAGAGAATATAAATATTATATACTATTTGGGATATATTGAATAATACATAACATCTAGAAAAATCAACTTATAACTATTACTACATTTTAAATTTTTGTAGGCCTTTATAAGAGTGGGCCCCCGATGCCAAACACTTATTGCACATCCTAAAAGACAACCATGTTTAGCACACGTTAGTTTAGAAGTAGTTAGTGATTTTATCCTAGACTAAATTTGTCACGTGGCAAACTACTTCAGTGTGATAAAAATGTTACGTGACAAAATCCACGAACAAAATCAATAACAAAAATCACCCAATTTTTTGTAGTGACAGCATTAATTCATTTGCCACGATGATCTCCCCGTGGTTATTGTTGTTATTAATTTGTTGGTAGATTCTATGCTATCTTTAATGTATCATACGTTTATCTACATGAACCCATTATAATGATGTAGTTGAATTATTTAAAACTAAATTGAAAATAATGTATTAATTTGAACCAATCAAGTGAGTGGTAGGTATAGTACCCCATTTTAAAGGTAGATTTTATGGTACAGATAAGGTACCATACATTTGTCCACATGGACCAATGAGAATGTAGTAGTTGACTTATTTAAATCTAAATAAAAAATGATAAAGTGATGTGATCCAATAAAATGAATGATACTCCGTAGATACCATACCCTATTTTTGTCATTATTTTAAATGGATACTCAAATTGTCACCTCATTTGTTTTCCCAATTCAATTGATTCAAGAATAAATAAATGCCGCTAGCATGGCCTTAAGCCGCCGATCTGGACTCGTTTTCAGTGCCGGACAAAGCTTAATTTGTCGTGCAAAATTAAATATTGGTGCCATACTGTACGGCTTCCTTCACACGATAAAAAATTTGATCCCCCATAATTTCCTATTGGTATAAGATAGTGAAGTTCCCACTAAACAACTTGAACTATCCCACCCAGCCTTATCATCATTCATCATCGTATCAATCATGAAGGCATTATTGATCCCATTGCTTTCACTCATATTATCCATCCTCATTTCCGCTGCCGCCGCTGCCACTTCACCGTCTACCGCCGTTCTTGACGTCAAGGGCAAGCCGCTCATTGTTGGCTCAAACTACTTCATCCTGCCGGTGTTCCGCGGCAGAGGCGGCGGGGTTTACCCAGCCAACATCAAACAGAACAAGACCGTTTGCCCACAGGACGTCATCCAAGAGGCCAGCGAAGTCCAGAAAGGCATACCCGTCGTGCTCACTCCGGTCAACGCCAAAGATGGTGGCGTGGTCCCACTTTCAACCGATCTCAACGTCAGGTAATACCGTAATAATGTATTGAGTGTCTGACCAAGCTAAAGATGGCGGCGTGGTCAAAGCGCTCGATACCGGAAATAAAATATTATTTCCCTAAATTATACGCAGTATTTCCGTATATTAGGTGGCCTCTTTTTCATGAATATCACTATCTATTAAATTAAATTCAAAAGATAAAAATATGATTTATTTGAAAAAATTTCAAAACAATGACATATTCAGTCCACTAGTTCCCAGTGACACATCACTCTGAAATACATCATAGTAACTCTTGTCCAGTTACTTGTACATAATGAATGGTCATATATTTGCTCGACTAGTCGCATTTTTATCGAAAAACATAACTAATTATGTTTTTATCTGGGAAACTCTGTCACTAATATATAGGGGCAAATCCAGGAATATGAGATGCCCTAGACTAACGAGCAATTATTCTATGCTCAAACATTATCGGGTGGGCTGAATATAAAAAATGAAAAATGTATACTACACAAATGGAAAAAAATCAAGTTACACCGTACTTCAGCCCACCATAGCCTGCACATGCTAATATACATGTCATTTTTTATAGGTTCTTCACGCCGACAATCTGCGCCAAGGAGGTGGTGTGGAAACTTGACGCCTACGATGAGTCCTCGAAGCAGACTTTCGTGAAGACCGGTGGGGCCATAGGAAATCCTGGGATTAATACGCTGAGCAGCTGGTTTAAGATTGAGAAGTCCGATAATGATTACAAGTTTGTGTTTTGCCCGAGCGTTTGCAGCACATGCAAGGTCATTTGCAGAGATGTTGGAGTGTTTGTGAACAAAAGTGGTGTCCGTTTTTTAGTTTTGAGCGATGTTCCGTTTAAGGTTCAGTTCGAGAAGACATTTTGATTCATTCCCCGGCCGTTACGTTAAATATCATCTTCCCGGCCGGCCTGGCTAATAATGTCTACTCCCCGCCTCGATCAGTGTCTAACTGATTTATAGACCCGAATAAATATGGGAAGATATCTTAAAATGTCTTGATGAATCCATGTTATTACTTCCTTCTGTCCTTAATAACTTTGTCAACTTTCCGTTTTTTGATGTCCCACTAATTTTGTTACTTCACTTTTTAAGTAAAGAATTTGTGATTCTAGTTAATTCTCTCTTCTCTGCACAAACCTCAACCACACAGTTTTTACTTTATTTATCTCCGTGTCGATCAAACTTGGCAAAGTTATTAGGGACGGAGAGAGTATGATTTATGAACCAGCTACTTCAATATCGAATCAAGTTCTTAACAAAGAATTTGACCTGAAATAAATTAAAGCCTTAAAGGTTTTTTTGGAAGATAACGCCTTGATATATCCTGCAAAGTGAATACTCTCTCATTACTCTATTTATTAAGTCAAGGCCGTTTTAGTTGATTTGATGCCCTATAAAAAAAACTAAAACCATTTTCGTAGAGTATTAGTCAATAATGTTTTACACCTTAAATATGTACTCCGTATATAGTACTAGCTTCATCCTATTTTAAAATACTTAAAGAGTATTTTATAAAACATTATCTTTATTGTAGATTATCACTCGTATTACAAAAATCGTAATATTTCAGTGTACAATTTCAGAACACGGTTCTCTTTTCCCCAATCAATTTTATATTATAAAAATCTGTATAATATAGTAAAATTGTACTTATAGAAGACTTGACCCGGTCGGGTCTGATTTAAAAGACTTGGTCAAGTGGTCCGCCAAGTTATGTTGCGATCTTATAAATTCCACCGAAATTACAGCATTCATGATTAGTTCTCTAATCATATTATGTCTTAAACATAAGTGTCTTGACTTGCCATTATAAACATGACTATACGCCTTAGCCAAAGTGGCACCACTATCACAATGGATAGAAATAGGTGCAATCGGCTTCCCCCACAATGGAATCTCAAAAATCAAATTTCTTAACCACTCCGCCTCTTTACCTGCGGTAGCCAACGCAACAAACTCAGATTCCATCGTTGAACTTGTGATACAAGTTTGCTTCTTGGATGCCCAAGAAATGGCACCCCCCTGTATATACCCAACCACTTGTAGAAGAAAGATCCTCTACATTGGATATCCAACTTGCATCCGAATATCCCTCTAAAACCGAAGGATACTCAAAGTAACACAAACCATAATCCATGGTTCCCTTTAAATGCTTGAACACTCTCTTCATTGCGTGCCAATGTTGAGTACTAGGTGACAGACACTTTGTCACGGTGCGTCAAAATAAATCGATACTAACACTTATACGTAGTATAGGTGAAGTAGAGTTCGTATCCACAGGGAAAGGAATACTTTTCTTTTTAATTTAAGAAGTAAGTAAAGGGGGGGTTTGGATTGAATGTTTTAATTTAATTAAAAACTAAGATGAATGACTTATATGAGGTTTCATTCAAGAATAAAAGGGACTTGACCTTGCTACTTTCCACTTGTTGATATATTTTAGTCGATCATTGTTATATCTATAACTTATCCACTCTCGAATACTCAATCGAGGAGTATCCAATTCATCGAGGGTAGTTATTAACAACGACCGTTCATTAATAACCCTTACTATTAATCAAATATAGAACAAGACCTTATACCGATTTAATAGTAGCATTTAATCTTTCTAACTCCTTGATGAAATCAATTGAGATTGATAACCTCAACACAACGGTTTCGGTTTAACCAACAAAATTAATCCATCTCAAGTTTATTAACCACGACCGTGCATTAATAAACCGAAGTTACTTACTTGTAATAATTAATGCCGGAACGTTAACTAATCGTCACTTAGAAACCCTCCAACATTAATATAGAGATATTTTAAGGGAAGAACTAATATTCAAGGAGAGAAGTTAAGAAAATAACTCACAACTTTAATAATCAACAAGCTTCAAGAGCAAAACCAAGAAATGGAAGTTTAGCTCCTCATTTGGAGACTAAACATACTAGAAAAATATAAAGAAATGCTATTGTAAACTCAGCTTAAGAGTATATGTGAATTGGTAATGAAATGGGAAGGAAAAGGGGTGTATTTATAGGTGTTTGGAGGTGGCAGGGTCATTTACCCGACCGGGTTTTTCAGAAACCCGATCGAGTTTCTTGAGTAAGTGCTCCGAATCTTCATTAGTCACATCTACCCGATCGGGTTTTTGATTTACCCGATCGGGTTTTTGATTTACCCGATCGGGTAAAAGACAAATCTTTGCCAAATCTTCGCCCTGCACGTTTAATTGCCTCCAAATCAAAATTTGATCTTCAGGTCAAGTCAAACCCGATCGGGTTTTTGGAAAATCCGGTCGGGTTTTTGACTATTTTCCCAAATTTCCACTTTCTCTTGTCCCCTTTGCACTTTCCTTGACTTTTCCAGGATCCTTTTGATGATCTTTACCTAGTTTAAACTCAGAAAATCCCTAATCTAAACAAATTACAACTATTTTACAAACGAAACTATTACACCAAAAGTGTGTAATTACCAAAGCAACAATCAATCAAAACTAATTAAAATTACAAACATAAATATGGAAATTACATGAATGTCAACTCCCCCACACTTAGTTTCTTTACTCGACCTCGAGTAAAGCCAAATGTTCGCACAAGTGTCAACAAAAGATCATAAGTTCAAGAATAGCAAGAAAGAACATAAGATCACCAAGGGTTGTAAATGAGTTACAAAACAACATTTTCTTGGGTTTTTGGTCTTCTATGCTCTTTGTTTCTTTTTCTCCCTCTTCTCTTCCTCTTTTTTCTTCTTCTTTCTCCAAGAAATGATATTTTGCAAAAAGTACACATTTCTCTCATATCTCTCGTTTTGTCTAGGAGCCTTTTCAGGTTTTCATCCTAGCATCTCTTTAATTTTTTCTTCCTTACCACTCACTCATCATTTTTTTAAAGCCCTTTTTGCTTAGATTGCCCGTTTCTGGGTTTTCAATTTAACTGACTTTTTTAAAGAAAATAATGCAAGTTATCATGGTAGAAAATGAGGGTGTACATACCAAATGAGTGAATCCCCCTTACGTTGTCCAAGCACTGTCCCTAGTGCTCCCCGTCATTAGCCTCGTCGTGGTAGCCCCCATAACCACTGCCCTCACCGCCATAGCCTCCTCCGCTACCGCTTGCTCCACCGAAATTGCCCCAATAAGAGGGGTCATACCATGTAGGATGCTGGACTGGAGTGGGCATGTAGGAAAAATACCCTTGGTGGTCAAAATATGCGTACATAGGGCCGAATGCCCATTTTTGATCGTCTTCCACCCTTTGGTACACATTGTAGAGGTCGTCGATGCGTGTGTTCATAGCCGTTTGGTTAAGATTGAGTTGTCGTATGCCGGCAAGCATTTGTTGTTCAAAGGGGGGTGTATTGAGGGGGTTGGGGATCGGGTTGTGGTTGTTCGGGACTGTGTGGTGGTGGTTCAAGCTGTTCTGGGATTTCTTCAGGGATGATGTAGTGCTTCGGGATTGCTCCAGGGAGGCAAAAGTGTCTTCCATCCCCGAATTGTGTATCAAAGATATTAGTGGGGAGTTCCGTCTCGGTGGTAAGGATGAAGAACCGTTGTGGGGTGGTGTTGATATGTCATTTGTAAAAAAATTTATCCCCAAAGGTGTGAGAGGAGCTTAAATCATGGGCATTTAGGAGAAATTGAGTGCTGACAAGACCCCACTCAGCCATTGGTTGCCTCTGAGTATACCCAAATTTGGAACATATATGGAGTACTATACCCCCAATAAACAAATCTCCTATGGCATCACAACACTTTTTTTCCAAATGTTTCCACATCAATGAGGCAATATCCTTTTTAGGTGCTTCTATCAAAGCATCCTCACCAAGAATGCCCACATCAGTCTTTCTAGTTTCATGGTTATTTGGTCTACCGAAGAAAAAATAACCAAACCATTTAAGGAAAATTCGAAAAACAGGGTGTTGGACATGACTGATATACATATGAGAAGTTTTCACAACACTTTCACATGTCATTCTTTTTCACATTTCATGCACAACCGAGGTGTCAATTTTCTTCCTTCTTTCCTCCTTCTCTAAAATTGGCAGTCCAAAATGTTCTGCAAACTCATGTTTCGTTAACTCTTTTTCATCGTTGAGGTAACGGAACATGAGTTTGTCCTCATATTCATCAGCGCCATTCTCAATGAATTTGCAAGACCCCAAAAATTCATACAAAACTTTTTCATTCGGATTATAGGCTATGTTCATCATAGATACTAAACCTAGCCTATCGCACAGCTCAAACATCAATTCAAAGAGCTTCAGGACAGTCAATGTAACAATGCAAAGGAATCGACATGGGTATACCTGCCTTTTCGTCTGCTCGATCAATTTTTTCTGATGAGCTTGGGAGGTGAACTCTAGTCCTGCGTATCCGGGAACTTCTGGGACCGGAACTGGTGCCGTGGAGGGGGGAGGACGACTTCTTTAATTTGGGTGGCATAGTGTTTTTCTTGAGAGAAATTGAAATTTGGGGATTTGTTTTGGCTAGGGTTCGGATTTGAGGATTTGAGGGGAGAAAAATGGAGATTGAGGGTATGGTAGTGATGAAGGAGATGAGGGGAAGAGATTTATTTGGTTTATTTTGGACTTGGGTGAGAGATTTGGGAGTATTAGGAGCTTGGTTCATGGCTATGGAGGTTTGGAAGGGGAGAGACAGGCGAATTTTTTGAGGGAAGATGGTGTTTGAACGAGTCTGTTTGCCTGTTTATTTCGCGTAAAAATGCGTAAACCCGATCGGGCTTTTGCATTTACCCGGACGGGTTTTCGAATTATATGCTAGCAGAACGCTTATTCAGTGTTTCACCCGGCGGGTTTTAGAATTTACCCAGACGGGTTTTTAGTTTTAGGCTGGCAGAATGTTTTTCGTGCCTTTACCCGGTCGGGTGAACGTTTTACCCGATCGCGTTTTCGTCTCTTTACTTATTTTTTTCGTTTTTCTAAAACCTGGCGGGTTGGTAGCATTTACCCAGAAGGATTTTTGTGTTTTGGCTTAGCAGTGGAAAAAATATCCAATTACCCGGTCGGGTTTTAAGAATACCCGATCGGGTTTTCCGATGTTTTATTAATTTCGATGTTTACCCAGCTGGTTGATTGCTCGGGTATTGGTTTTGAACCTTGTTACCCGACCGGGTATGTGGTTTACC